CTCCCCTATGCCCCATTAAGGCCCAATATTTCCGCAGGGGGTTCCGGTAACCCCTCGGTACTCCAAAAAATATCCGAACCTCTCTGGAACCATTCCGATGTCCGAATATAACCTTCCAATATATCAATCTTTACCTCTCAACCATTTCAAGACTCCTCGTCATGTCCGTGATCTCATCCGGGACTCTGAACAACCTTCGGTCACCAAAACACATAACTCATATAATACATATCATCATCGAACGTTAAGTGTGCGGACCCTACGGGTTCGAGAACTATGTAGACATGACTGAGATACTTCTCCGGTTAATAACCAATAGTGGAACCTGGATGCTCATATTGGTTCCCACATGTTCTATGAAGATCTTTATCGGTCGAACCGCAATGTCAACATACGTTATTCCCTTTGTCATCGGTATGTTACTTACCCGAGATTCGATCGTCAGTATCTTCATACCTAGTTCAATCTCGTTACTAGAAAGTCTCTTTACTCGTTCTATAGTGCATCATCCCGTAACTAACTCATTAGTCACATTGCTTGCAAGGCTTCATATGATGTGCATTACCGAGAGGGCCCAAAGATACCTCTCCGATACTCGGAGTGACAAATCCTAATCTCGATCTATGCAACCCAACAAACACCTTCGGAGATACCTGTAGAGCATCTTTATAATCACCCAGTTACGTTGTGACGTTTGATAGCATAAGGCATTCATCCGGTGTCTGGGAGTTGCATAATCTCATTGTCGGAGGAATATATATTTGACACGAAGAAAGCAGTAGCAATAAAACTGTACGATCATTATGCTAAGCTAACAGATGGGTCTTGTCCATCACATCATTCCACTAATGATGTGATTCCGTTTATCAAATGACAACTCATGTCCATGGATAGGAAACTTAACCATCTTTGATCAACGAGCTAGTCTAGTAGAGGCATACTAGGGACACGGTGTTTTGTCTATGTATTCACACATGTATCAAGTTTCCGATTATGAATAATAAACATTTATCATGAATAAGGAAATATAAAATAAAAACTTTATTATTGCCTCTAGGGCATATTTCCTTCAATGTGATGAGAGACTCCTTAGCCGGGACACCGTCACGTAGTACCCCCTTCGTGTCGGCCGCCATCGCAGCCGCTCTCACTACTTACTTCTTCTTCTCCTTCTTCCCTGGCTCCTCCCTCTGTTGGGTCATCTAGGACGTCTAAGATGAACGTGTCATCAATAGAGCCTACCACGGGATGGAAAAATCGCCTCAGGGTGATTGTGTTGTGCGACCCGTTGCACTGTCGGTACCTCATGCCTTTCCCAATCCCCCAATCGACCAGGACAAATGGAAACAATTTCAACTGTGGTGGTTAAATAAATCGTTATGCAAAATGACGGATTGCGAGCCAATTCCCCATATTCATCGATGCTCGATGCATATTTTGGCAATTACGGTGAATGCAATGAAGGGTGCGGGAAGGAGGAGGAATGTGCAAACTGAGCCCTAGACATGTTATGGTTAATGTCATACCCAAGGTGTAATCATGTGAAAGAGGAGGGGATTCATTGGAAGTGACTCAGGCTTGCTTGGGCCAGAAAGAATGCTGGAATGCCACGACAACCATTTGTGCGGTTTGCTTTGAGATCTCGCGGTCGAGTGGGAAGGTTGATTTAAGCAATGCCGAGGAGAAGTGAACGAGGTGGCACACATGTTAGCTTGTGTTTTTTATTAGAAAATTGCAACCGGGTCGATGAACCCCTGGCTATCTTCCATGTAAGCTCATAAACTATGTATCCATGCTTTGATTTTTTTAATCAGTTGTATGATTTTTTTCCTATTAAAACCAGACAATTTTCTTAGCCGTCCGATTGAGATCCAACTGTTGTGAGTCATCTTCAAGCTCCAACCTTTTCCTCATCTTCAACCTCAGACTCGACTTCCATCCAATCCGAGCAGCAATGCAAAATGAAAAGGCCCTCACCATGTACCTGTTAACTCTCGTCCTCGCCTCCACCAGCAAAGTTGCGTCGTCCTCGTCTCTGGTGAGCTGAGTCGTCCTAGTTGGCGTCCCCGCGCTGCCACTCGTCACGGTGCCTGTCTCGGCATTGGGGCCATGTGCCCCTCTCATGTCGGAATCGACATACCCAATTCTTATTTCCAGACAACTGTTGAATAGCAAAACCAGAAAAAAAAAACATCTGTATGCACTTTTCTTTATATATAATTTCATAATAATATACTATATTCACATGTGTCACTGGTAAAACTTGTTCAGAAATGGACACCGGTTCTTCACATGCCCAGTCATCTAAAAGGCACCCATTCTTCAGAAATGGACACTTTCCCCCAAATCCCCACACTCCTCACCTCCCCCCGTGCTGAGCAGAGCTAGGGTTTCCGAGCTAGCTCCTCGTTCTCCGGCGGCGGGATGGGTGGCGCCGAGACGGATCGGGGGCAGACCACCGAGTACCCCGTTAGCTCCACGTCCCCCGGCGGCAGGATGGGCGGCGCCGCGTCGGACCATGGCCAGACCAGCGCGGACTCTCGCGCCGAACCGGCCGTCCCCGAGCACCAGCGCGAGCTCCGTGCTCGTCTGCTTCCGCCGCGCCGCGGCCTCCAGGAGACGGCACCGCTGCCGATCTACGACGAGCTCGTGGAAGAGATCTTCCTCCTGCTGCCCACGCCAACCGATCTGATCCGCGCCTCCGCCGCCTGCGTCTCCTTCTACCGTCTCGTCGCCCGTCGCTCCTTCCTCCGGCGCTTCCGCAAGCTCCATGCCCCGCCCCTCCTTGGCTTCCTCGATCACGGCCGAGAATTCATCCCCGCAATCCCGCCCCATCCTTCCGCGCCCGCAGCCGACGCCCTCGCCCTCGCCGCCGACTTCTCCCTGTCCTTCCTCACCAGAGAACCCTACTTAACCCCCGCCCACTACTGGGATATCGAGGACGTCCGTGGCGGCCGCGTCCTCCTCAGCAGGCACCCCTTCCATGATCTTTCCCTGGCAGTGTGCGACCCCTTGCACCGGCAGTACCTCCTGCTTCCCCCAATCCCTGCATTCGAGGGCTGGGCTTCACTGTACAACCTAAGGACAGGATGGCAGACCTTCCTTGGCGACGACGAGGAGGCCGTGGAAGAGACATCATTCACAGTGGTCTCGATCTCACAGTGGGGAAATTGGCTGGGAGCAATCATGTTCTCTTCCAGCACCGGACAGTGGCGACAAAGTCCATGGATTGGAGGATTTGCATTCTTCAATCAGTGCCGGTACGCGTATGGTTGCTTCTACGGGTTGACAGAGTGCAGGCAAAAGTTGCTGGTGCTTGACACATGGAAAATGGAGTTCTCTCTTGCTGACCTCCCACCTGAAGCGAGAGGTTCTTCGGAACGTGATGTGGATATTTCCTTTGTGGAAGCAGGGGAAGGCATCACTGGGATGTTTGTGCATCCAGGTAACACATATAGCATCAGTTATCTAACTAAGCGAAACAATGGTGGGAGTTCCAGCCAGTGGAAGTTGGAGAAGACAATCCCACTGGATTTTACTGGGTCCAGGTTCATGGGTTCAAGCGGAATGCACTTGCTTCTGCGTTGTTGGCGAGAATTCCCATCGCCCGATCTAGGCACTTTCACGCTTGACATCAAAACATTCCAGTTTGAGAGGGTCGCATCACAGTATGGGGCATATATATATAGCAACTTCCCACCATCATTGCTGTCGTCGCCTACAATATCAAGTGGTAAACTTTTTGCTTTGTCCTACCTATTCTCTTTCCTCCATAGGTTTCACACACCTTGTAGGATGCTTCATATTTCATTACTGTGATTAATTCTTGTTGACACTGTTTGGTAGTCTTTACTTTTTCCGTGCTTCTTCCCTAAAAAAGTACTTATTTTGTGCTAGTTTCAAGGCTAATCAAGCTCAGGAGCATAGCTGTGATATATTTGTTTGTCTTCTAATTGCCATTTTATGGCCAAACAAAGCAAATGATTTCCACATTATAAGTAGCATTCTAGAGGCATCATGGAATCGTAAAAAAACTCTAGATGGCAACAATTGATTTGGAGAAATGTTTTTAATCTGATGAAGCTAATGGATAAAGGATACAAGTTTTAAATCCAGTTCAACATTTGATTGTTCAAGTCAAGCGTTCCATATCTTATCTTATTTTCCTTTCATAGGTATAAGATGGAGGGGCCTTTCTTTTTTGTCATCTATATACCTATATATTTATCTGAAGTTGGCTGAGCCATCGCCACCAGTATTGCTCCTCATGTATATGATATGAGTAAAGTTGAAGTGGTGAAATTTGTAACTTTTACTCAATGGAACTGCCATAAGAACCGCTTATCAGCCTGTGCTTAAAAGCTGTTTGATTTAAAATGAACTAGGGCATCCATATTTGCTTGGACCGTTTAAACTTTTGACCTGACTTTACCTCGGTCTTTAAGTTGAGGCACATGTATAATTCAAGCAATCAGTTTTTGTAGGATGAAAGAGCACACACATAGTTTATTGACAGGACCGTATCCAAAAAACATAAAGGGCCGGTGCAAAATAATAAAAGAAACAGGCCCTCGACATAAAAAATGTCGATTAGAAAATCAACGAATGTGGCTCTGGCCCGGTTGATCCTCTTAATGAATCGGTTACCTAGCAGCTAGCGCTTGTGGCCTGTCTTCAACTCTGATCGGTACTCCCAGGGCGCAAGGCTAGCAGCGAGTAATAAGGGAACTGAAATAATTACTTAGATGAGAGAAGAGAGAAAAAGACACCGAATAAACATATAGATTGAGGGTGGAGCAATACATACTGATTGCATCAACCTATTTGTTTTGGGGAAAAGGTGAGTGAATTAATCCACTGGAGTAGATTGGGAGCGGAAGAGAATGAGAACGGCGAGAGAAGAGGAGAGACGTGCGTGAGATGGGGTCTTGGGAGTAAGGTTGCGGCGGATTATTGAGAGTTAAGTTAGAAATTTGGGACTCTAGGTAATTTATGAACCTTGCAACACGAAGCTACCATTTATTGAGAGTTAATTTACAACTTTTAAGTCCTTTTAGGATTCATTTACTTATGTTTTACATGCCTATGCCTTTGTCTATCTATGTATTCAAATTTGTGCTGCCATTTACATTTATATCAAGAGATAAAAGCAAGCTAGTCTTTGTGGGCGATAAACCAATTGGCTCGAAGGTGGATTTCCCATTTATTGTGTGTCGTTTCTTTTAGGTCCCAATATCCCATCTCATCTATTCTGCTTTATCACATGCTTTTTACGTAAGCAGTGTAGCGAGTACTGCCCAATGATAGGGCCAATCCTGTTGTTCCTCTTTCCTCACAAGCTCTTGAATGTATGCAGTTTAAACATGCATAACCTTGAGATACTACTGAACAGGTGCTGAGAACGAGGCTGAGGAGATGCTGGAACAAGGCGGCGCTGCAAGTTCAAGCGCATAGGGCTGGGTCAGAAAGCGGTTCACGCGAATGCTGGAGGTCGGGCTGAAGCGTTGATGATTCAAGATGGTGCTGAGGTTGCGGCAAGGACTCGTCAATTGATCAAGTTGGTCCACCTTTGACTCTCTGTTTTGTCTGTAATGTTGTCATCCGGAAGAACACAGAACCTGGTCTGTAATCGTTGGCCTTGATCAGACAATGATTGTTGTGTCAGTTTGTCGCACATAGTTCCTGCTGAATTATATGGTTAACTATAAGACTGTAAGAAGTCGGACTTGGTGTGATATTGTTGTATGTGGAAACTATCCTGCCGTTGTTGTCATCATATTTTCTACCCTGTCGTATGTCTGCCCATGGCCATGGCTGAACCTGCTATTGCTACACCCTATGTAACTGCAAAGTGCGTGGAAAGGAAGTAGCAAGGCGAAAGGCCAAGAGCCTCCGTTACAAGTTGACTTGCAGTACTGATCTACTCTACTTACATTCAGTTCAGATTTTTTTGGGGGGACTATATCGCTGAAGTCAGTTCGTTTCTGAAAAGAAAACGGATGATGATAATAATCCTCTCATGTTATATATACATGACCATCAGCTCCATGAGCCAAAGGGTATAACCATCAGAACCATGAGCCAAAAGATCTTATAAATGATTCTTTTCCCAACCATTTGCAGTACTTGTCACAAAGGAACTGTGTATCGGTTCCATACAGTGCTTTTGGTTGTGTTTGGTCATCCAGAAAGATAGAATAGAACCCTGATCGAGTGTTTTACCTTGTGTTCCTTGGTCAGACAGTGGTTGCTGCACCTGTATTGTTGGATATGTAGCGAGAGCATTGACGATGCTTATATTCTGTTAGGACTGTGTGAGATCCCTAAAAAAACCAGCTCAGTTGGAAATCACGAGCTTAATTCATCGGCCGACTAGGACTGGTGGTTTAAGGGCATCTTTAGTTGAACCCTTAGAATTAAGCCTTTTAAGTGGCTCTGTATACCTTAATTTCTTATATTTGATCCATTAAAGAAAAATGGTTTCTAGCCGAACCGCTAAACTTAACTCCCTATAGCATACAATTAATTCATGCATTTCGTCCAACACTTCCAATGCATCACACAACACAAATACAAGCTACAACTAGTGGTTCGGCGACTCCATAGCTGCTGGGACAGGCCAGCTGCAGGTCCGTGTGCTGGCCGAACCCCGTCACAATGTAGTTGAGCACGACAGGTAGTGATCCAGTCAGAACACCTGCTCGTTGGCGCGAGATGTATGTCTCGCATTGAGCAAGACAGAAGTTGCTCTTGCTGAAGCAAATCGCTTTAGTGCAAGAAACTGGGCCGATCCATCAGCACACTTATAAAAAAAAGGAGAAGGAAAAAGATGCGCAAGCGGGGCATCTTTAGTTGAACCCTTAGGCTTTAGCCTTTTAAGTGGCTCCGTGTACCTTAATTTCTTATATTTGATCCATTAAAGAAAAATGGTTTCTAGCCGAACCGCCAAACTTAACTCCCTATAGCTTACATTTAAATCATGCATTTCGTCGAACATTTTCAATGCATCACACAACACAAATACAAGCTAGAACTAGTGGTTGGGCAACTCCAGAGGTCTGGGACAGGCCAGCTGCAGGTCCGTGTGTTGGCCGAACCCCGTCACAATGCAGTTGGGCACGACCGGTAGTGGTTCAGACGGAACACCTGCTCGTTGGCGCGAGATGTATGTCTCGCATTGAGTAAAACAAAAGCTACACTTGTTGAAGGAAATCGCTTTAGTGCAAGAAACCGGGCCGACCGATGAGCACACTTATAAAAGAAAAGGAGAAGGAAAAATATGTGCAAGCGGGGCATCTTTAGTTGAACCCTTAGAAATTAGCCTCTTAAGTGGCTCTGTGTACCTTAATTTCTTATATTTGATCAAAGAAAAATGGTTTTCTAGCTAAACCGCTAAACCTAACTCCCTATAGCTTACATTTAATTCATGCATTTTGTCGAACACTTTCAATGCATCACACAACACAAATACAAGCTAGAACTTGTGGTTGGGCGACTCCAGAGGTGCCGGGACAGGCCAGCTGCAGGTCTATGTGCTGGCCGAACCCCGTGACAATGCAGTTGGGCACGACATGTAGTGGTTCAGTCGGAACACCTGGTCGTTGGCGCGAGATATATGTCTCGCATTGAGCAAGACAGAAGCTGCTCTTGCTAAAGGAAATCGCTTTAGTGCAAGAAACTGGGCCGACCCATCAGCACACTTATAAAAGAAAAAGGAGAAGGAAAAATATGCGCAAGCCGGGCATCTTTAGTTGAACACTTAGAATTTAGCCTTTTAAGTGGCTCCGTGTACCTTAGTTTATTATATATGATCCATTAAAGAAAAATGGTTTCTAGCCGAACCGCTAAACTTAACTCCCTATAGTAACATTTAATTCATGCATTTCATCGAACACTTTCAATACATCACAACACAAATACAAGCTAGAACTAGTAGTTGGGCGACTCCAAAGGTGCCGGGACAGGCCAGCTGCAGGCCAGTGTGCTAGCCGAACCCCGTCACAATGCAGTTGGGCACGACAGGTAGTGGTTCAGTCAGAAGACCTGCTCGTTGGCGTGAGATGTATGTCTCGCATTGAGCAAGACAGATGCTGCTCTTGCTGAAGGAAATCACTTTAGTGCAAGAAACTGGGCCAACCCATCATCACACTTATAAAAGAAAAGGAGAAGGAAAAAGATGCGCAAGCCGGGCATCTTCAGTTGAATCCATAGAATTTAGCCTTTTAAGTGGCTCCGTGTACCTTAATTTCTTATATTTGATCCATTAAAGAAAAATGGTTTCTAGCCGAACCGCTAAACTTAACTTCCTATAGCTTACATTTAATTCATGCATTTCGTCAAACACTTTCAATGCATCACACAACACAAATACAAGCTAGAACTAGTGGTTGGGCGACTCCAAAGGAGCCGGGACATGCCAGCTGCAGGTCTGTGTGCTGGCCGAACTCCGTCACAATGCAGTTGGGCACGACAGATAGTGGTTCAGTCGGAACACCTGCTCGTTGGTGTGAGATGTATGTCTCGCATTGAGCAAGACAGAAGCTGTTCTTGCTGAAGCAAATCGCTTTAGTGCAAGAAACTAAGCCAACCCATCAGCACACTTATAAAAGAAAAGGAGAAGGAAAAAGATGCGCAAGCCGGGCATCTTTAGTTGAATCCATAGAATTTAGCCTTTTAAGTGGCTCCGTGTACCTTAATTTCTTATATTTGATACATTAAAGAAAAATGGTTTCTAGCCGAACCGCTAAACTTAACTCCCTATAGCTTACAATTAATTCATTCATTTCGTTGAACACTTTCAATGCATCACACAAAACAAATACAAGCTAGAACTAGTGGTTGGGCGACTCCAGTGCCGGGACAGGCCAGCTATAGGTCTGTGTGCTGGCCGAACTCCGTCACAATGCAGTTGGGCACGACAGGTAGTGGTTCAGTCGGAACACCTGTTCGTCGGCGCGAGATGTATGTCTCGCATTGAGCCAGACAGAAGTTGCTCTTGTTGAAGGAAATCGCTTTAGTGCAAGAAATTGGGCCGACCCATCAACACACCTATAAAAGAAAAGGAGAAGGAAAAAGATGCGCAAGCGGGGCATCTTTAGTTGAACCCTTAGAATTTAGCCTTTTAAGTGGCTCCGTGTACCCTAATTTCTTATATTTGATACATTAAAGAAAAATGGTTTCTAGCCGAACCGCTAAACTTAACTCCCTATAGCTTACATTTAATTCATGCATTTCGTCGAACACTTTCAATGCATCACACAACACAATACAAGCTAGAACTAGTGGTTGGGAGATTTCAGAGGTGCCGGGACAGGCCAGCTGCAGGTCCGTGTGCTGGCCGAACCCCGTCACAATGCAGTTGGGCACGACATGTAGTGGTTCTATCGGAACACATGCTCGTTGGCGCGAGATGTATGTCTTGCATTGAGCAAGACAAAAGCTGCTCTTGCTGAAGGAAATCGCTTTAGTTTAAGAAAGTGGGTTGACCCATCAGCACACTTATAAAAGAAAAGGAGAAGGAAAAGGATGCGCAAGCGGGGCATCTTTAGTTGAACCCTTAGAATTTAGCCTTTTAAGTGGCTTCGTGTACCTTAATTTCTTATATTTGATCCATTAAAGAAAAATGGTTTCTAGCCGAACCGCTAAACTTAACTTCCTATAGCTTACATTTAATTCATGCATTTCGTCAAACACCTTCAATGCATCACACAACACAAATACAAGCTAGAACTAGTGGTTGGGCGACTCCAAAGGTGCCGGGACATGCCAACTGCAGGTCCGTGTGATGGCCGAACCCTGTCACAATGCAGTTGGGCACGACAGGTAGTGGTTCAGTCGGAACACCTGCTCGTTGGCGCGAGATGTATGCCTCGCATTGAGCAAGACAAAAGTTGCTCTTGCTGAAGGAAGTCGCTTTAGTTTAAGAAAGTGGGTTGACCCATCAGCACACTTATAAAAGAAAAGGAGAAGGAAAAGGATGCGCAAGCGGGGCATCTTCAGTTGAACCCTTAGAATTTAGCCTTTTAAGTGGCTCCGTGTACCTTAATTTCTTATATTTGATCCATTAAAGAAAAATGGTTTCTAGCCGAACCGCTAAACTTAACTCCCTATAGCTTACATTTAAATCATGCATTTCGTCGAACACTTTCAATGCATCACACAACACAAAATACAAGCTAGAACTAGTGGTTGGGCAACTCCAGAGGTCTGGGACAGGCCAGCTGCAGGTCCATGTGCTGGACGAACCCCGTCACAATGCAGTTGGGCACGACCGGTAGTGGTTCAGACGGAACACCTGCTCGTTGGCGCGAGATGTATGTCTCGCATTGAGTAAAAAAAAGCTACACTTGTTGAAGCAAATCGCTTTAGTGCAAGAAACCGGGCCGACCCATCAGCACACTTATAAAAGAAAAGGAGAAGGAAAAATATGCGCAAGCGGGGCATCTTTAGTTGAA